TAGCATGTACATTTCTTTTTTAAATCAATGAGGAACAATATTTCGTTTTTTCATTACATATTTTTAATGAGTTTTAATTTCATTAGACTTATTATAACGTCATGGTTCGCTGGTTCATAACTTTGATGTTTAATAAGCTTTGTTTAATTAGTATGTTGTGTTGACACATATACGCTATGTCGGATATTTTCAGGAAAGTACAACGATATTATAAACATCATAATCATCAATTCACGCCCCAGTGAACAAAGGGTCAGAAAATCATTATTGCTAAATTGTATTCTAACCTACATTTGAAATAACTTTAATTTCTGATGTTTGTTTGATATAAATTACTTTTACTGAAATATAATGCATTGTAAGTTTATTATTATCAATAATACATATTCACCCCGGGTGATCAATATCCTGTGTTCCGAATTTCGTTCCAGCAAGTCAGTGACCCGAGTTGTGTTTTTACTGAATCCCGATGAATATGGCGTCTCGACGAGCCAGGTGACGAAAATATGTCAAACAAATCAGATAGCATAAGGAAAGAATGAATATAGAGTAATGCATTCGGTGCTGGAATATGTTTTCAACATGTTCATAAACGATTATCCATATGTGTAGGCTATTAATGCAAATCGAAGCATGAAACCAACATGACCCAATTCGAAAAGCTCGCAGAAAACGATATCAGCGAGTCGTTCTTTGCCTTCTGTAAGTAATGATGGATACTCTGAGCATTGTATAACTGTAAAGTATACCTTATTAGTATGTCTCAACTTGTGCTATGTTTGAATCCAAGCTATTTCCTTTCATAAGCGTCATAGAAGTCGTTGAAAGATATATTCCATTCTACCGAATAGGAATCGCCATTGTCCCGAAGCTACAGAATAAGATTATATATATTTTGTATACTTTTGAGAATCCATTCATGAATACATCAAGCTAATTTGGTGCTACCTTTCTTGTTATTATTTTACAAATTCAAGATCGAATTTCCCTGTATATTGATTTCCACATTGGCATTGAACTGCAAATACAGGGTGTCCCAAAAAGTGTACCCACTTTATAGAAGGAATATAACTATTCAAAAAAGATTGAACTTTTCACATGATTAGGATGCTCTCAATTAGATTTTTAAAAATAAAAAATGTGTGCAAATCAAAACATTGCATTGCTGTCTGGTACAACCACGATGACCATTTACAGGCCCGTATCCAGGATTCACCATTGGTGAGCGGTTTTACCAAGGGTGGAGTTTTTGCCAAGGGGGGGGGGGGCTTTTTGACAGTTTTGATAGCACGATCGTATGTATAGTATCAGTATCTCAATGATAATACCTCAATTTGAGGTTTATTTGAGCCTAGCCTTCTACTATAAGTATGATCTGGCTGGCATCTGTTGTTTTGGCAAAAAATCATGTGAAAAGTGCTCAGAATGGTGAAAAACTGCAAGTTTTTGAGAGAATTTCTGACCAGGGCCCCCCCCCTCCTATCTGCGGGCCTGATTTAATAAATTATGCATGGATCCTGCCATTATAGTCCATGGTATGAAATCTCTAGGACGTCTAATAAAGGAGCTGGTAGCACACTATAGCGCAGCGATATTTGACCTTACATAAGCATACCTACATATGTCCCCTAATAATTTTTATTATAACCGTTTAATATACTTCCGGCTTTAAGGCTAAATTATGCCTGCCATTAACAGAGGTCAAAAAATTTCCAAAAAAATAAACTTCCAAACTTTTACAATTTGGAGTACACAATGCAATAGCAAATAATAAAATATGATTTTAAGTATATGATTTAGGTTTCTAAGCTAAAAGTTTGAGGTTATTTTTCTATTCAATACCAAAAGATTATGTCATCAGTGTATCGACATTTTGTATTGTTTCTCGGGTATTAATAAGATAAATGCTACAAATGAATCACTTTTCTATTAGAATGACAAATGCTTAAATTATGCTAGTTTTTCGCAAAATGGGTCTCAATACGTTTTAAGATATGAACTTTTATTCAGCGGTGAACATTATCAATAAAGGTGGGCATATTGCTCTCCCTTGACTAATTGCGACTACAGCTAAAATTCCATTTCTCGTAGTTAGATATAGCTCAGTTACTTATGAAACAACCATCAAGACTTGGTCGAATTCATGAATAATTGAGAAAAATCGTTATCATTATCTTCCTAAAATTTGATTGCATCCTTCGGTAAGGTCAAAGAAGAAACAACCATCAGAAAACTTGATGATAGCCACAACTAACGTCGAGGAAGAATTGTAAGGCGTTCGACTGCATATGACTCTAATTGATTATTAGACATGCCCTTGGAATATATGAACATGCAAATACCTCTGTAACATCGAATTAGATATGAATCTTACCTATTTGTTATTGTATTATGTTTTATAAAACATCAACAATAATTTGTTGTTAGACCCTTTACGATTATATGGAAAAATTCTGGTAATAAAATGTTTTAACTGGTAAGAAAACTACCCGGAAAACTAATACGTTCCCAATCAAAAAAAATTACCTAAATATTCCATACAATTTTGTTGAATCGGCTTAGCTCATATTTGAAAAATCAAACAAAATCTGAAAAACACACTTGTGTAATTACACTAATTAAACACCGACATCTACAGTAAAATCATAGTAATTTTGACATTATGATAATCAATTTTTTTGTTCGTATGCTTAGAATAACGGTCTGTGTCTTATAAAATTTATAAAAGTTCGAATCAAAATATTTACGTTTTTTGACCCCTTGTGATGAAATACATTTTTCGACCCGAAAGCCGGAAGTTTTTTCGGCAAATGGTATTTTAAAAGAATCAAGACATATACACCTTCATAAATATTGCTTCAAATGTTGCTGCGCTAATAGTGTGCTACGGATCCTTCATATTCGGAAGTCATACCAGGGACTATTACCTTAGCAATGCTATCGTGAAAGCCTGGTGTGACCGTCGCCTTTATGTGACATTTATGGCTTACTAAGTGAAGACTTTTTAGCCTGTTGTCAATATTATTATATTTTTATGGGTAAATTGTAATGCCTACTCTAACAGTGACAACGTTGAAATATATTACAATACCTGGCATATACCTGCTATATGATATGCTATATTTTTTGTCAATCCCTGGTTTTTGTGACAATGTTAAAATATATCATAAAAATGCCTGCTACAGTATGTGCAATGTGGATTGTGAAATGACCATTCTTTGAAGGTGTTGCAACATAGTCTCATAATTTACACATGTTGTATTGTACTCTCATCCTCTGATGTGTGTGGCCTCTTGACAATTTTCACATATTTTAACATGGGAAATCCTCAATTAATCAAATCCACTACTCATTTATTAATCACTCAGACTAGAAAAAAAATCAGTCAAGTTGGCAAAGTATCAATATTATCAAATGCATTCAATTCTTATTTTTGATAAATTAAGATATCACACGTGAGTATACACTGCTTCTGTTCATTATGATTCAATAGTCTATGAGGCAGGCCCGTAAGACACTTTTCTCCAAGGGGGGTGCGGTTTTTACTAAAGAGAATATAAAATTGTCAATTTTTTGCCGCGTAAACCAAATCGCGTAAGTCAGAGGGGGGGGGGGGGGTCGGTCACTCCCCTAGAAGATTTTACAGTTTTGAGATGCTATTTGGTGCATTCTGGGCACTTTCAAAGTGTATGAGTCAATAAGAAAAATGTGATTTTTTTCAAATTCTTTTGGGGGTGTCAAAAAGGATGAGAGGGTGAAGTGGGGTGGGGTGCCAGAGGGGGAGCAAGGGGTCGTCCCCCAGAAACATTGACCATATCAAGGGGCAATTTGATGATGTCTGGGCACTTAAAAAATGTCTGAGACAAAACATGAAATTCAGAATATTTTCTTTTGTTTTGTGGGGGATGTTAGGGGTGGCTAACTCTCATAGAAAGTTTTACAATTTAAAGATGATATTTGGTACTTTTGGGCACTTTTAAGGTGTATTAGTCAATAAAAACATTGAAAAACAATCATACTTTTTTCAAATTTTGGGGGTGTCAAAGGGGAGGGAGGCCGGGGTGCCAGAGGGGGAGGTGGGGTTGGGGTGCCAGAGGGGGAGCAAGTGTTTGTCCCCCATATCTGTCCCCCAGAAACATTTATGATATCAAGGTGCTATTCGATGAAGTCTGGGCTTTTTAAAAGTGTCTGTGCCTATTTCCCAAGAAAATGTTATCCATGAAGTGCGTCGGAACACTGGCGATTCCTATTCGGTACTATGGAATATATCTTATTATGCCTTCTAGGACGCTTATGCAAAGAAATGGTTTACATTCACTGGAAGCACGAGTTGGTACATACTTTGAACGTCTACCAGCAATTATACCATGATAACAGTTTATCTCATTAACTAACAGAAGGTCAAAAACTGCTCGGTGACATACTTTCCAGCGAGCGTTGAAAATGAGGTCACGTTTACTTATGCTTCGATTAGCAGTAATGCCCAACGCATATGGATAAACAACTAAGAAAATGTTGCAAACATATTTAGGCACCGAATGCGCCACTCTATATTCAGTCTTACCTTATGCTGTCAGAAAGTTTTGAATAATTGTCGACATCAACATCGTCTGTTGTCAAATTAGCCGCCATATTTGTCGGGATTCAGTAAAACACAACTCGGGTCACTGACTTGCTGGAACGAAATTCGGAACACAGGATATTGATCACCCGGGGTGATATTATCAAAGCTTGGAATTGGAAAATGGAACAATTGGAAAAAGTGGAAGGATTTTAAAATCGTATGATGTACCTTCAGCGAGCAATTGGTTTTTATGGTACTTGCGCAAAGTTGACATCAGATGACATTAGTTAACTACTCAGCCACAGCTTAATTTAGAATAGATTTCAAACTTTTCATATGGATTCACTCTGTTAAAATCGGAAATATTTTATTTACTATTTGTTAATTTTAATTAATTTCACAATTGATTTCATGTTTTATTTTCAATACGTTTCAGTCGGCCAGCAGGGCGGTACGATCGTTGATAAAGATGGAAAGAGAAAGCATACGAGACCGACGTTTTCTGGTCAACAAATATTTGCCCTAGAGAAGACGTTCGAACAAACGAAATACCTGGCTGGCCCAGAGAGGGCGCGACTAGCGTATGCACTAGGGATGTCAGAGAGTCAAGTAAAGGTATGATAATTTTAATAAATATATAAAATATTGCGAATTTGTGTTCATAAGCCTATCAAACAAGTATTTAACGTTAGGGAATGTACTTTTTGTATATTAGCTTTGCGAAGTCAGACATGGCTTGGGTTATACATTGTGGTGTATATTTCTTTTTTCGACTAAAACTAATGTGAAATGATATGATATGATATATGATATGATATGATATAATATAGTATAGGCTCAAAGACATAACGCAGTTAAGTATTTACTTTGAAAAAACAGAACCACGTACACAAAATAAGCTACCAAAAATCCAGAAAGAAATAACTGTTGTCTATTATCATACCAAATCATTTAAAAATTACAATTTGAAATGATAACTTGATCGCAATAACAATTAATACAATAGGGATTAATTTACATATTAACATTGAAATGGATAAAGCAAATACTTGTGCTAATAAGTATAACATGATTTTTAATCATTAGGCTCAAATCAAAGCTTCTGACAGCATATGTTTTCTAGCCAATTCCGGGTTTTGAAACGTTATGCCTCGTGTCTTCCTCTCTACTTTTCTGTTTATTTTTGTTTGGATTAAGCGAAAATTAATTACCGGTAATAGTGTTCTTACTTGATTCTTAATAGCCTCCAAATGTGAGTATAATGCCACAATACTGGGTGATAGGAATTAGATGTTATTAATTTTACATCTGTGTACCAAGTGTAAAAGACTAAAATAACAATGTGGTACCCCCCTTCAGGACCCACTTTTCCCGAAGGGTTGAATGAGTGCGCATGCCCAGCAAAAGCAAAATAGATCAATCTTAGAAAAACCGGACGTTCGGAATTTCGGTGCATTGTGTCAATGGTCGAGTCGGTGAAAACTAATATGTCGTTTATATCATTTTCTAGGAATCTAATGATACAAACTATTTGAGATCATATTACCAACATGCACATCGTATCGATTTTATACTTTGTAAACAATATTAGTGAATACAATAGCGTCAATTTTAGCAGGTCTTTTATTAATTACAGAAGCAGAACTTATTGCTATATTTTTATAATGGGTATTTATACAATAAAATGCAATAAAATGGAGTCACGCTTCGGCGCCCATAGTCCATGTATACTTCATTATTCTAAGACTATTTACATCTGCCGGAGATAATTGAATTATATAAAGTATATTTTATATGCTTCGAGGGTTAAGCCCTACGCATTGTTTGTGGCAATGAATATCCATTGTAAATGCTTTGCTTGGCTGCTTTAAATTAATTCTTTAGCTGTTTTTTACCAATTTATCTTAATTTTGGTTCATGCCTTAAGTTTGTGTTGTATTAAAAAGTTATTGGTTTGGAATTTTTATCCAATTGCGAGGCTAACTGAATGATTGTAGTGATCAATTAATCTTCATATAGCACCATGAATGGCAATCTACGGAGGGAATCAAATCCTACAATGAAACCTTTTCTGCATCGTTTCTTTCCAAAGACATAGAAATACTGTGATTGTTTTTAATGTCCTGGTACAAAAGGGAAGTTTTATTGCAACTGCTCGCCGTGAATCGGTCTCCATAGAGAATGAACTATATATTATAATAATGGCAACAATTAACTAAATGATTAGTGTTTCCATGGATATCCATTAAAATTATGTTTTGTAGTCATGAAAACGTAGATTATCCACAGGTATTTTTAATTTCTGTTCAAAGGTATGAATTGAAATGCAAACTAGATTCTTTTGATGTGGTACCCCTTTGTTTCATTTGCAAAATAATGATCAGAGTTTTTATAATGAGACCCAATACAATGAAATGTTACAGATAGGCTCTCTGTCAGATGTGTCAATTTCGTGCTTAACATTCAATCTAATTTTATTGGCCTTTTATTTTAATTTCATTTACTTTAGTAGGCGAGCTAATCGAGGATCGTTTTTCTTTATTTATTCCACACTGTCGCTTTTTAATCCATTTTCTGATGGTTGCTTGGATGAATTCTGGCCCTCGGAACTACATTAGCTGATTTTCATAACAGTTTTCTTAACAATTTTCCGCATCACCTTTGATGTAAAATGCATTAGTTATATTGGTATGAGATTTACTGAAAATCTATATCTGAGGCTGTAGGACAATCGTTGAGTTGATACTAAAACAGCGGCGAATAATCTCTAGCTTCTGCTGAAAAACACTTCATCATCTCAAATTAGATCAACATAACAAAACGAATATTTTAAGAAAACCTAACAGATCAGAAGAATTCAATTCAAACAATAACATGATTTCTGTTATAAATGCGTGTCAATATAAACCGATACAACATTTCTAGTAGCTCACAAGGAGCGAACAAACAGAGAAATCCATGTGCATATATTTGCTCTTGATAATGACAGCAAATCTATTATTAGGATAAGGCTATTCACGTAACACCTACCGTGTAATAAATACCCCTACAATCCTTACCAATTTTCTTTAAATTTCTAATGATTTTTCTGCCATTTTGTTTTTATACATGTGGCGTGTCATCATCTCGGTAATTACGTCACTTTTTCTATTTTGCATGCTCTATTTCCGTTTTTAAACCAGACGACAGTGGATTTTTATTCATTGGCTTGATTGATTCGCGTTGAACATGACAGCGTCTCAAAAGTGACAAATTGGCGAGAAATCTTAATAATTGCCTTGTGTAATCCAAAGGAATAAAAAATGATTCCAACGCCACGTGCGTACAACTAGAAAATGTGACAAAAACTGATGAAATTATTAGAAGACAAACAGAGGCAGGTGCGCCTGCTAATCTAGATCTTCTACAGACTATTTGCAAAAGAGGTTATGGACATCACTTTTATTTGAAGTGCTGCTTTCGGGAATAGTATCCATATTTATTATGTAGTCTGTTTGACAATTAACATATTCCTTTTATGTTTAACAATATTTTAAGGAATGTGCCTTTCCATCTGAGCGATAACGCGACCTGTCATATTTTTATAACTGTTTGATTGGATTTTTACCATTAGATATGTAGTTTTTTGCATATTGGACGTAAAATATGTAGAGGTGTGTTTCGCAAAAAATGTATAAATATATACATGTGCATTTCTTTTCACAAAAATTGCAAATATTTTCTAAGCATTTCAAATATTTTCTTATCTGAAAAATAGAACCACAATTGAAGGGATGAAAACATATTTACGACAGTGCACATTTCTAAAGTTTATTAATTAACATGTTTATGCACGGACTATATCCAATAATATTTTGATATACCCGGCTATATAAGTGACCCAATACAACATTACAGGATCACCGGTAAGATACTGTCATTTTGAATAGCAAAAAGATTTAGGGCCCCAAAAAGACGGGCAAAACGCAACCTTAAATCCTATATCTTATCACTAATGTGGCACAATAAAGAGTAAATGTTATTATTTTAAATTGATTATTTGTTTGAAGTTTCTTATCAGCCATAAATCAAATCAAGGAAACTCACTTCAAAGTTCTATGTTTCAAACTTTGTACATGGTCAATGTTTTAATTTATTGTGGCCATATTAACTCATTCTGATACTCATAGCATTTTTCTGTTTCACCTGAAACATGAAACATCTCAGGGCTGAGAAGATTTGAAATGGCATGGTTTATCATGATGATATTAACTCCTCATGATAGAAGAAATTCAAATTGAAAATTACCTGTATAAAAATGACAATAATTTTAATTCAATTCAAATGAAGATTTTTTCGTTCGAGAAATTCAAAAAGCAATGTAGAATAGAGTTTGAAAGTATCTGAACGTTACCTGTAAACTGGAGATACGCAACGGGCAGACATAATGCATGTACTTATGGGAACGATGATGCATATAATCTGGCTTTCATTCAAAGAAAAATAAGAGAAAGTATTTCTATTTTCTCGGATGTTTACCAGCTGGAATTATCAAAGAAAAGTCTGGTGTATTGGCAAAAAAATCCATCAACGATGAATCTCAGTATCATGAGTGAAATTTGACATGGGCGTTTAATTAATGTTAATATACTTTAAAATGTTCATTCTAGCAAAAAAGTTACAAAACATCAACACTAAAACCGTCAATTGTATCTTATTGTCTTAAAATATTAAACATAACGACTTTTGTTTTGTTTACCTTTAATCTGATATATTTCCCCATGGTGTAATTATCGCTTATTGGGACAGCCATACTATTTGCATTCTAGAGACAAATTACAGGTAAAGATGTGTTTCACAACACCTGGATTAACAGCCAGATAATTTAATCCAATCATCCTCGGGATTAATGAGGTTAAAATGGGTTAATGGTAAACATAGTTGTTTAATTGTCAACTTTCGACCTATACTTTGCAATAAACGAGATGAGTTATTACCATTACAACAGACTGTACTAAACCTGCCTAATGGGCCAAAAGGAGCACACAGAACACCGATGATCGATTTCAATTAGTAAATGAACAATATCTAAAGAACAATACAAATTCAAGTGTATCCCACTAATATAACATGCAATTGTAGATAAGTATTATCAACTTACATGTTTCTCAACAGCTTATACTTATAGCACTCAATAGGGTCTTTCAAATATTTGATAGCGAAAAGTAATATAGTAATGGAGAATATGAACCACAAGCGCGCCAACTTTAATTTGAACACCTTATGCAGTTGTAGTTCAATTTGCACCTTTAAATACTTCGATTTCGATTCACCTTGACTCCGACCTCCATTTTCGATTAAAAAATCGATTTAAATGTTTGGTAAAATTTCGAGCAATATCGACGCCCACCTGAAATATTAAAGACGCCTAGCTGAACCCCCCCCCCCCATTCAGTCTTGAAAGCCTGTATATATAGTATTTAAAAAGAGTACTTAAAAACTTAATATTATGAGGGATGATGTAGTCTTAATCAACTCAATGATTAAAATTAATCAACATAAACTACCTGTAATTGATTCGGCAACATGTTAATACATACCCGAAGCCATCAATCAGAGTTAACCTGACAAGAACGAAACGGTTATCTCCACATGTCCCGATTTGCTGATTTTTTGCTAATTCATGTAAGCCAGGACAGGCTTTGAGTGATATCTCGACAATTTGTAAAACTCGACGAGATAACATTAATGCCCCTTGTTAATTTTAATTAAAAATGAAAATCATTGACGGAGTTATCTTAAAAGTAAAACTTTATATGATAAGGTGAATTCCTTTCATGTTTAGTTCCAAACTTTGAAGTTCTTAATTAATTACTACAAACAGAGTCCACATTATGACTTCAAATAGTTTTTTATTTGGGAGTAGTTAGTAAATTTATATTTTATGGCACGTCTCTTTTATTCTTTTCATCATTTTCAAATGAACTTGTAAAATAACTTGATTTTGATCTGCATACTCTCGTGCTAATAAAACTTCATCTGAACCCATCTTATGAAGTCTAATTAAAATCAATGTTTCCCTCCTTCTAGGTTAACATATATTTATATTTAAATACAGGTATTATAAAGTATTATTGTAAGTAATTGTGTGTTGAGTTTTAAATATGTTTGTGTTATTATAAACTGAAATTAACCCAAGTACAAAAGATATAGTTCCATTTTAAACGTATTAGATCGGTGAATTTTGTCTAGAGTCTGTTATTGCATTTTTAAAAGTGAGCTTTCTTCTAACCACAATAAATATATTACAATCACAAAACACTCTTGATATTAGAGTATTTTTGATAGATTGTAATACTTTAATGTAATATTTTGGTAATAATAAAATTAACTATTTCTTACATCCAATAATTTATATTGTATCACACTACAATTGTATTGTATTGTATTGTATCTTTATTTCCTCCTTATAAGAAGATTTACAAATTTATAGAACAAAAACAACTTTAAAATTTACATATTACAAAGTGTAGTTCTGCAATTATCACAGAGTTTCATAGTAAGTAACACAATAAAACATCACTTTTTTCTTAATTTATTTCTTTACGTGGACAATAATTGTCACATCTGTAGTTAATAACTAATAAATTTTGCAAAAAACAAAGGATTTCCATAAATAGTTTTAGATTTTATTCTTCTTTTTCAAATAACATAATTAAACGTATTCATAAATATTTACATTCTGAGAGCATTTTCTCATATAAAAACAATGAATTCCCTTCAAAGTTTTTATTTTTTTTTGAAACCATGGATAGTTTTTCTTAATAATTAGTGTTTCATAAAATAATTCTGACTTACAGCTAGTCCTAACTTTTCGTTACTTTTGTAACGGACTTGTAACGAAAAAATCATATATTATATATATATATGTACAGTAAAATCTGTGTATATTGAACATTTTTTACCAAGAAAAACGTTCAGTGTTGATAGGTGTTCACAACAGAGAGGTTAATTTATACATACAGGGTGGGCCAAAAAAAATTGGAACATTTGATAATTGAACTCAAAATCGTTATTTTTTCTCTAAAATGCACCAAAATTTCACTGAGTATTGTTCAATCACTTATTTATCTGATGTAAAGTTTATAGCTGCAAACAACAAAGTTAATGCATTAAACTAGAGAATGTTTGATATGACCCCTTTCTCCTTAATTACAAGTTGAAGCCTGGGACTAAGTTTTGAAATGATTCATTCACTTTGCTGTTCGTTTGATTTTGTCCAAGCCATCTTGATTAAAAATTCAGCTTGAACATACTACTTATATGTTTGCCTTAGAAGATCAAATATATGAACATATTCAACATTTTTTTACCTAAATTGATGGGTATCAAGCATATTTTGATGGCTATTGTTGGATATATTACTGATTGAATATTCTCCAGAAAGAGGCCAGGGCAGTCTATTTTGACTGGTAAATGACCCCCCTCCCCTTTCTTGTTCTAGTATGAATAATATTCATTGAATATATCAATATATGTATATCAATATCATAAAGGAGTTTCCCAGAACACAAATTATATATTATATTATGTGTGCTTAGAGGTGGTCTTTAATAAAGCCTTGTAAATAACTAGTCAGTTTCCACTCTACTGAAAAGTGGAAACAATGATTTTGTCAGTTTAGTAGCTGTATGGGTTATGCAATCACTCACCTCTGACATGTTCTTTCTTTCCTACTCTTAAATAAAAATAATGATTTGGGGTATTCTTAAGGTGACAATAACACAATAGTTTTCCAGTAAACCATAAATGTTAATATCTCATTTCATCTTAATATGATTTTATAAAATGTGTATAGCAATCAACATGTTCATTAAAGCTTTGAAATAAAGAATACTTGAAAAAGTAGCTGCGAAATTGTCAAGTGTATATTTAAGAAAAGGGGGTCATATCAAACATTGACTAGTTTATTGCCTTAAATTTGTGGTTTGCACCTATAAACTTTACATCAGAGGGATAAGTGACTGAACTATGCTCAGTGAAATTTTGGTGCATTTTAGAGGAAAAATAATGGTTTTGTGTTCAATTAACTAATGTTCCAATTTTTTTTGGACCACCCTGTAGTTTATTTCATAAATCAGTTTATAAGTCAGTAGAGTGTGTGGAGGATGAGTATCAACTAAAGACGGGCGGGTGTTCACTAGAGAGAGGTGTTCACTAAGACAGGTTTTACTGTACTTCCAGGTGTGGTTCCAAAACAGACGAACAAAATGGCGGAAGAAGCACGCGGCCGAGATGGCCACTGCAAAACGAAAACAAGATCAAGGTACGGATGATATAGACAGTGACGATATGAGTGAAGAGTTTGAAAGCTGCAGGAGTCTGACTGATGTATCAGCTAATCCTGTTAGCCACTTCCAATAAAAATGCAGATGAAATATGAAATGAGAAACCCGCCAATACTAATGCTTTCATCGAGGATTGCATACATACAATAAAATTCCAAAATAACATTCGAGCATTTGAATACCGACTGACTGCTAAGAACAACCAATAAAAATCTAGAATTAAACCTCACGATAAAAATATGCCAATGGTACTTTAGTTTAAAGAATGTAACATTACTTTCGAAAATTCAAATTGAAAATTACATTCAAAGACACATATATGAGGAAGCGGATAAACTTACGAATAAAATCATCATAAATTCTTGCCACCATGTATATCTTGTAACAGTTTTAGGGACATCCACCATGGAGACATGTTATTTGATTTGTACTATTTACATGTCAATGATAAGTAAATGGTATCAATTGAGCAGAATAATTAGTACATAATGATAAAATATGCATTTTAGATTATATATTGTCCAATAATAAGGTTTTGCGAACAAACTGTGATTTTTAATTCTTTTGCGAACATACAAAATGTATTTTGTATTTATTTCAAAAGGTGCTGGTGTACCATAAGATTTGACTGGCGTGTAAAAGTTGACTGATTTAGAATTGAAGCTGTATAATCATTTATTTACATACATTGTCTAAAAAACTGATGTACATATATAGAACTGCACTTTATTGCGTAAAATTGTGAGTCTCTATCCATGTCTCTGTTATGTACATTGACTTTTTGATAAATTATACAAACTAGTATCACTACCCCAGTTGGCATAGCAACAATGATCATATGACGAAAACAAGATCTGCTGACAACATTGAATCCGGGTTCCAAACCTAACATCCGTAGCCATGGTAACCAAGTATTCATTCTGCTGTTGGTCATGCGTAGAATGTTTGATCTCTGTTGCTATTCTAATGTCGGCAATTTTTTTTTATTTGTCTACATATTATATTCACCTTTTATTTGCTTGTATTCCTGAAAATGCATCATATAAGTAATATTTATATATCAAAATATTAACAAAATGAGGACCTCTAGATCTTGGTTCGGACTTGACAGGGTAAACTTCTACTGAACATAATGTATTATCTTAAAATAAGTTTTTTGTGATAACGTGTTTTCAAAATTGTGTTTCTATACAGGGTCATCTTTATATAAAAGGTATCATCGTCATTTAAAAGGTAACAAAGGTAACAAAGATTAGTTGAAGGTAACTTTTCGAAAATTTGTTTAAATTTTACAATTCTTTTTTTTGCTCACAGCATACCATGGCCATATCGGGTCTAATGTTCAATATATCTGACCTCGTTTCATTTGCCTCCAACGTTTCAAACTCTCTAAACCTTTGCCGCCACTTTAAGAATATGTCAATATGACTCGAATTTGACTGGAATTTATGTTGATATGGCTGCTAGTTTTGTTTTAGCATCTGTAAACAGTATTACTAAAAAGGTGCTAGCTATTTGCATAAAATACGTTACAAGTCTTCAACGTGGTATATAATAGATGTAATATTATAAATAATATTTCAAAATATATGTAAAGTGTTTTGTAAATAATAAATTGTCAATTGTTTGAAATGCATTTTTGATTTATGTTCGAGTTGTTTGGTTCAATTGATGATTTGCGATCACCGAATGGATTCTGTCTTTTAGTGACGTCACAATTAGGTCACACAGCTTTAGATGCTTGATTTTGAGAGATTATCTTCTATATTTCGTGCTTTATTGATTTATTTTTCACGAAAGCGTTCTATTTGACTAGATCAACATTCATGCTAAGCACATACCAAGTCTAAGGTCTTACTGACATGATTTAGATAGCGGTTTAGCGCCCCCCGATTTTGACAAAAACGGGGGGCGCTTATAGGCATCGATGTTTAGTATGAATTTCACCCAAACTTCGCATATATATAGACATACTCATGATCTAGTCAAATAGGCATACCTGGTAAATATCCGACCCATGGTTTTTATATAAGAAACGACAATATTTTTAGCTCAAAACTGCCACGTGTCCGCCATTTCGTGATTCCATCATGTCTAATATCATTTCTATATGACGTCATACCAATAAGACGAAATACGTGACAACAGTATCCATAAACAAAAGTCCTGAATTCTGATCGCAAAAGGTCAATTATGGACAACAAAATATGTCTAAGATAACTTTGTAAGCAGACGTGCTGGAGGAAAAGACCTTTGAATTATACAAAACACAAAAGAAAAATCTAAAACCACAATCGGTCATAAGAAAAATAAATCCACAATATCACAAACAATGATTTAACGCACATTGAAGCAACAGCTAACACCCCTACCCATACTCTATCATTCAAATGGTGTGTAGCATCATCAATATGCTTGATTCAGGCATCTATGTGCATTTGTTTCCCTTTTCCCACTTTGATCGTTTTATTTGAGTTTTTATCTTTGATTCAACACATTTTCATTCAAAAAACATTTAATATAGTCATTCGTTGCTATATTGAAAGTTATGGAAATTACCCTCTTTCTGAACTAGGTGGTGTATTTCATAATGGTACTTCTCTAAACCATTTTATATTAAAGATAGAGACTCAAGAAAAAGAGAGTAAAAAGTCAGGCAGTAAAAATCCAGATAAACAGACACGATGATCCAGGGACCACGACCCTTTTCCCAAGCCCTTCATTTGTACACTTGAAACGAATGGTCGCATTGCGATGAACAAGAATTAAAATGATTTTGACAAGCACAAAGATGCAATAGACAGTACATGCTTGAATATGTTCTGTGTATATAATATCTCTATAGAATCACGACCTTGAAGACGGTATGAGTTTTTCGGACCGGTAAATTTTAAAGGGCATCTCGGGAATGTTAGTGATGGAGGTATCACCTACATACGCTCAGCTGGTGACCTGTTTCCGCGACTTGACAATGTAATTCAAACCTCAACTAACTGTCTATTTAGACACACTTGATCACTTAAACCAACCCTAGCAAATCTAATTAGTAAGTGATACAAAAATATAAACAACAGCCAAGCAAAGACGATCTTTTTGAGATCTAAGAATAGAGAAAACTACTCTAAATGAGCCCTAAAATACAAACCAAAAGGTTCCATAAACATCAGAAATCGGTATGAAGTACCACAACATTTGGTCCAAAAGATACTTACTTGATCAATTTATTTTGCTGTTCATCCTTGTTCTTCGTGATCAAACATCAAACATGTACAGGGGCGTAGCCAGCTTTCAGTCAGGGGGGGGGGGTGCGATTGTGGCATAAACAAGCCCAAAAATTTACTTTGAATTTTACAAAAATTGATGTAACTTCCTTCAAAATTGAGCTAGAAGCTTCAAATAAAAAGCATTTTGAAGCTCTTTTCTTAGCTTTATTTGTATCGTATTGGTTATTGGGGGGGGGGGGTTATGGGTGCGATCCCTCACATCGTGACCCATCGCAACCCCTTCCCCCGGCTACGCCTATATGATGTAACTTGATGAATCTGAAAATTAGTATCCAAAACGAGAAATCGGTAAATGGAAGAATATAAGGAATTTAATTCTACGTGCTTGCCACTTCATTTTTGACAGAGATAGTTAAGTGAAGTATCATTTTTGTTCGTCAAATAATTAGTTGTTTTCTTCTCTATTGATGAGCATCGACTGGCAATACATCAGCATTCCAAAAAGGAAACATACACTGGGATCGTTAATTATCTGTTTACCTATCCATGTGAGGTGACGAAATACCACCAGGGGAGATTGGGTAGCTTCATACGAGGTGGCGTTGTAGCTTATGGTCGCGCTTTGGGCATCCTTCGATCTCATTCCTCTTCCTTCCTCGAGTAACAGTAATTTTAAAATTAAAAGAAACTGAGGGTATAGTCGAGTAAGTTCTAAATGCCTGATTATAGCACAGAAGAGAATAAAAAAATATAGGGCCAAAACAGTAGCCTATTAAAGTGATCAGTTTTAAACAGAACTGTTCACTGACAGAGATGGTAGAGGTGGCAATATTTTGTGAACAAATACACACATTAGCAAGGATGCATTGAATTGTATTTGTCAAAATGTCTAATTCTATACATTCTGATTTGTACACGCACGTTCGTTTATCATTGTATACCATGGATGTATATTGTATGTACCTCCATGGTTGTACTTCTCTTCAAATACATCTTAAAAAATTCACCCTACGTAGTCAAGCCATATCACCATGGCAACAATTAAACATGTAGTAGATGTCATCTTGAACGCTCGTGATGATGACGTAATTGGTCTGATCGATGAAACTAACAAGAATGATTCTATGAAATGTTTTACAACACAGTTATGATATGTGATAACAACATACAAAAAAGTTATCAATTTGATTTTGCATCTCCAAGAATTCCAAAAAGAGGCTTCCGGATATGAATAACAGAGAAATGGCCCATATCATGGTTTTTCATTACTTTATCCAACATAGTGCCATTATTCAAAGTAAATTAACTTCGTGCAACAATAATTCATCACCTTTGACGACTGTGGCTTAAATAAATGAGAAGTGCTCGGATATATTGGTCCCTATTGACCCTAGTAATTCCTGATATAGTTGATGCGAGCTTTTAAATGAGTCTGATTAAAAGGAGACATTGTTCCTATGACAGTTACTTAGTGATCTATTAGATGCGCAGTAATTTTCTTTAATCACCAATAACTTGTTTAATCCATACGCAACTGTCATTAAAATTAGTCCCCCTATGGTTTTCGACCGTTCAAAATGAATTAACCGACCTCACCAATTTTAATTTCAAACCGTTCGGAAACCTTGTGAATATCTTTATCAGCGTGACAGAAATGGGTTTCATGGGTCATAGTAAGAAGCAACGAGACCATAGTTTTTTCAATTTGTGATAAGGAAAACTCTGAAATCAATTTTCGAGGTCTGTAGAAACAGGCATGTTTTGGCGATGATTTACGAGCGAGGGGGATTTACTGTGTAACAGACGCAATTGAACTGGAATCCCCTAAGTCAAACTATTTATTATGGCCCATCATTATATCTTACGCATATATTACTGTCTTTCCTAGATTAAATATTATACAGGCCTAGACAATTGTTAGTTATGATCGGAACACATCTATCACTTCAATTGCCTCGAAGGAAGACGTCATTCCAGGTCGTTTATACAGTTTTAGTATTATTTACGAGTCACGATATTTCCCTATGTCGTACTACAAGTATTGTGTTAATAGAAAGTAAATTACACTCAAAAGTAGTTGGTGGTCATGTCATACACGGACAATGAACACAGTTGAAAAAGGAACATTCATGAACAGCCGGTCATAAGTTAAAACAAACCCCAATATCCTATAGTATGATCTAATAGGAACCGCTCTTCATATCAAATTGTAAAACGGGTACAATGGAAGGGATTAAAAAACTTTATTTTGCCCCCTTTCCTCTTTCTCAATTTGCAGTTTCACTTAGAGAACTTTGCGAATTGTTACATTACTCGTGGTTTTTAACAAATCGTTATGATATACATATGGAATTGTCCCTTTTGCTGTGTTCTTTGCCTTTAATCAGATCAGTATTATTTATTGGCTTTATGACAATCTAAACGCCATTGGCTGGAATGGTTTGAAAAATACAACTACCAAGCCTTGATAAACACTCAATACTTATCTTGGTCATTTTTGAAAATCATGAAAGTAACGAAGCTCGGACACGCTCTCTGGAGTGGGTATATTTTCAAACTATACTTACTATACAAACTATTACTTACTACTATACTATATTTGAAATATAGGATCAAATCCTACGCTAAGGACTGACATAAAAAGTCTCTCGACCTTGGTGGGAATTTGAAACCACAACCTCTCGATTAGATAATCTTTCAACTTTCCTATATGCAATTTCCCATTCAAATGACGTGTTATATGACAAGGCTTTTCAAAAAACAATTCTTGAACACAAATTCTCAAAATTAGTAGACAATTTGGCAACTGTGGTTGCAAAAGTACGAAAGCTGAGGTACAATTAGCCAAATGATTTCAGAGCAATTCAAATGAAGAAAATGCACATATTAATGACCATGCTTA